CAGTGCTCCTTAAAAAGGCTCGCAACCGAGTGCGACATGAGCGGCATGCGTGTGAACGCATCTAAAAGAGAAACGCTAGTGCTTTCTAGTTCTCCTGCCTGTTGCTCTATTGAGGTTAACGGAGAGGCAGTGGAGCACGTGGAGAAGATCATGCATGTCAGAGTCGTATTTACAGGCGATGAAAAATTTGTGGAAGAAATCACAGGCGAATTGGAGTAGCCATTGGCGTTCTGCGTGAACTAGCCTGATCCATTGTGACTAAAGCAGAGCTCAGCCTGAAAAATAAGCTCTCGGTGTTCAAGTCGATCATTATTCCCATGCTTAAATACGGTCATGAGTCGTGGATCATGACTGAAAAACATCGAACCCAGGTCAAGTAGATGAAATGGGCTTTCTTAGACGAGTCACTGACCTTACGCGTCTCGACATGGTCCGGAATAGTGACATCCGGAAGAGCCTTGGAATACAGCCTCTGCTTCTCCAGATTGAGAAGTCAGAGGCGCGATGGTTTGGTCATGTGTTGTGCATGCCTCCATAAAGAAAGATTAAGCAATTGTATCTTGCGAAACCGACAGACGGAAGGTCCAGGGGACGGCCAAGATTAACCTGGGTGGAAATATACGGAAAGAGACTCCAGCTGTCTTCTGCAGAAGCCCAGAGTCTGGCACAGGACCAGGAGCGTTTGGAGCTCTGTCTGACGCGTCTGCCTCCGCGACCCGAAAGGAGAATGAAGATGACAGGCGCTAATTTGAAAAGATATCAAAGGGGATAAATAGGCTAACTGGAAATAACAGTGAAAGATGCAAAAGATCAGGTATTCTGCATACAACGTGAATGAAAATGGTAGAGGGAAATCTGGTTTCAGAAGCGAATTGCTGCTGTTACGACAGAGTAAACGGTGCCGCATAAAAAAATAAATTAAATGCTTCGAAAACATCGAAAACAACGGTGAAGTTCTGTTTATGCAAGAACTTAAGATATGATATGATGATATCCATGAACGATACAATAAAGAGTACTAAAACTGATATATGATAAGACCTACTTCCATACAAAACTTTGCAATATGGCTGACTGCACATTAGGGCGGAGATCATCATCTGAATGTTGCGATATGTACAGCCGAATCCACGGTCAGCGTCGTTGGAGTAAAAGAAGTCAACAACGGGGCAGAGCAAAGTTTCGCTTACATCTGATGTCTTGAGACTTACGCAACGAATTCGTTCAATGATGCCTAAAAGATGAAACGAAATTACTAAGGAGGTTATTGATCATTAACCACACAGACAAATAAAAGTTTCAGATTAAAAAAAAGAGCCATCATCTTTAAATCTGCTTTTCATCTGGAAATGAAATAACTGGAAAACTTATTGATTAAAATGACATAGTATCTATTAATAACTTGGGCAATCCGTGGTTTAAATGCATGTTTTCACGAACAACAATACACATTAAATAACTTACAAAAATCAAAAATTACCAGACACTAATAATAAATGCATAACAAATGAATATCTCAAACTCACTGCTATGATCGTTCTCAAATTGAATTCTGCAGCTCTTATAAACGTTAATCTTAAGAAAGAGTTTTACTATTCAAAGAAAAATTGTTCTAAGTCTCCGTAATTCAACATTAACGTTCACCACGAAGATCAAGGAATTATCAAGTACTGAGTCGCGTGCACATCTCTGAGGTGTTCAGGTATCAGGAACGACCTTTTATGAACCGTAAATGGTTGATAACGAGATTCAGTTATCAGAAGGCTGTAGAGCTTCTATATATCTTGAAACAATTTTTCTTTAATCCTCCACATTCTTCCACTCAAGAGCAATGCGACTGTTCCATTCTCTGTCAGAACAGCGTTAATTCGTAAAGGTTGAAACTAAGTACTCTAAGGGGTCAGTTCTATCAGTGGACCCCAATAGCAGAAAAAGCCGGTCTGTAATATTCCTCCTGCATACCTCATCACTTCCGTTTAAATTAGTATTAGACGAAAGCGCAGTCTTCTTGCAATGTTTCATCCGTCTCTAATAACAGCTACAGTTCACCTGTGACATCGAATAGCAGAATAAGTCTGACAAAAGCTAATGTAGTCACCTAGGATTATGCTTCGGTATGTCAATGTGTCAAATGACTGAGATACAGCAACCTACGTAAGGTTGAGCATTACATAACTTATACTGCGTTTTACTCTGAAGCCTTGTCGGATTCACATCTTACCAATTTTAACATCTAGGTTCAAATAAACATTTTTATCTGATGCTTTTTTGTCATTTTTTGCTTATCCAAAGCAACATGAGGAAAAGCCTCGGAATATTCTTCTTTCTACATGGATAGACAGATAGATGGACAGATATGATAAACAGACAGATAGACAGAACGACAGGGATAAAATATAAATGGTAGCATCGAACCTTTAAGAGGATATCGGTCATCCTCAAAGCCGAGTCGATCATTTATCATCAAATTAACTTTTCCGTCATGCAGCTCTTCAAACGTGATTTCGTTCCTACAATACCTTCGGTTGAGGGACAAAACACCTTGATCCAAATATCCTCCTGTATCTTCCAAACCGTATCTTTCCTAAACAACTGCATTAAGTCTTAAACGGATAACGAATACAACAGTATTATAAACCGATCTCATAACAAACTCAATCAATCGTCTGTCATAACTATATCAACAGCACAAAAAACCTCTGCTTCAGAGAACAACAAAAACAGTTATCTTACAAAATGAAAAATGGAATCTACTACTACGATACAGAACAGAATAAAAAATACGTACGATTGATGGGGTCATGTAAAATACTGAGCACTGCGTTTAAACTTCCAGCAAACCGGCTATGGCAGCCGACTTCCACATCAAACCTATCTCTCTGTTTAGCTTCAAGACCCATGAAATAAGGGCTTAAACGTCGATACAGGACGATCATGCGAGAGACTGTTGTACAGAAAAGGAGATAATGCTGCCTACGGCGTGGCAGTATTGAACATATACATGCATCTTGTTCTCTTCAGAAAAAATGAAGATGATGGTCTCCAGATCTCCAGCCGTCATACTTCCCTGGTTCAAAAAGAGCTTTTATTGAGTTATATAATTCGGTCATTGCTCACTCTCCATAATATGAGCCCGCGCTTGGAGAAGAGATAATCAGCTCTTCAGCTGTTTGAAAATGAATACCTTCAACTTCGCCAAAGAATCAGCCTCTGCATTGTCCAACTCTTGATGGTAAAGCTGCAAGGCGAGAATTTCATCACTTGACTCTAAACACACCAACATTAACATATCGATAGAGCGAAAAAATAAAACCTAAACCTCATAATGAGAATGAAATGTCTTTACTTCCCTGAATTTCCGACCCTTGGTGAAACGGCTTTACAGTTCAATTACTGCTACGTTAGCCAGATGTGAGAAAGAATTTAACCTCTAACCATTTACCATGTTCTGCAATCAAAACCTAATAAAAATAAAGTACCAGATTTTAGTTATTAGAAGAGATATTTGATGCTTTTTTATCGTTTACGCTTAAAAGCAAATATACATATAAGTCCTTATACTAGGTTTTACACCAAATATGTTCGGGGCAGCATAGTCCAGTACAACGCGAGATCAACCGGCAAAAATTGAAAATTCCAATTTCAGAATAATCGTTACGTACTTATCATCTACTCCTCCGTTATCAGTGTGCGTTGGAAACAAACCAATTATAAGCCATAGTAATCGCCTAGTAGCAAATGTTTTTATAAAAGCCTCTGGTTGTTGCAATGGAAAAGAAAAAGTGCGGCGTAACAAAATTTCAGTGATATCGTTCTCTTTCCTTTCCATCTCTATGCATCGTAGCATAATGGACTAAATGTAGTCATCTATCTTGTCATTGACAAATGGCTGATATTGGTCAAAATCTTTTACATACTCACTCTGACACTGGGATGAGAGGGATTCGTGGAGCTGTGGCTTGTGGAGTTACTTTACAGTTTAGGTGTGTCGACTTAGAGTTCCATGTGCGGTGCAGTTTTCATATAATAACTGATAATTCCCTTGAGCAGGGAATTTGCCCCACGTTGACTCAATGCAACCAGCCAAGACATGGGTAGCAATTCGCTGACACTTGCGAATAACAAAGACAGTCTGGTAATACCGTGCGGTCAAACCAGAACACCCGACACAGCTACCACGCGGTCTCGTTCGCGTGTTCTGCAGTTGGAATTCACCTTGACTCACGTGACAGCTGACGTTTTAGTGCAATAATCAGTAAAATATGACAATTCATTCTTCCAGCTAGCAGGCATTAAAAATCTATTCCTTCAGACACTAAGAGTTAGCATTAACACGTTGTTCGGTTGTTGCATGTTACTCCTTAAGACAACCATGAATTCTGCTGTGTATGATATTGTCAGAAAATCTTATAATTGTATCACCATCTTTCTAACTTAGACTGAAGCAAATCTTTTCTCACAGAACACGTTTCTTTGAAGATGAACAGGATTTCTCTGACTTTTCGATTACTACGTTGTCGTAGACCATGGAAACTAAATGCTTGAGTTTTATGCAGAAGTCACTCTTGTTTGTTGATATAATCTCCTTGATCCAATCGTCTCTGGTCTGTGATACCCGCTGTATTTGCAGCATTTCAACTATTATGCTATAAGGCACCGGTTACTGCGCCACAGTGAGAAACACTCCACTATGAAATTAGGTCAGTCTCTGCCTTGTTCCTCCATATCATGTGCTGGCCTCATGATCGACGTCTGCCGCGTTTCGAGAAGAGTGTAGAATAGCAAAGGCTAACGCCTATTTGCTTGGCGAATTCCATAGTTAATATGGAACCACTCAGATATTTCTCTTTGGACTTTGAGAGCAGACATGGTTCCTGCATATATCTCTTCCAAAACAGAACTAATATACTCTGGTGTCCCACAGCATTTCAGGATTTACCATATCGTCGAAAAATTATGCAGCAATTAGAATCCCTTTCGTAAACTTCATTTTGTTGCCTTTGTTTCCACTAAAGCAACCGCCAACTATTCACTAAATAGCGCCACACGTCTACATAAGGAATGCAATATGAAGTTGCTTATTGCACCGTATTTCTTTCTTTCTTGTTTCATTCAATAAACGCCTTTGCCAACATAAAAATTAACGAAAATGGAGTAGTCTGAACAAAACCAGATATCTGAATCATATGACCAATAACCTGGTATGTTCTGATACTCGAAATGCAGAGTTACATGGTCGTTCAGGGACGAGGTCGATTCGATTCTGCACTGACAGACTGGACAGCGACCCGACAGCTCGTCGTCGTGAACCATGTCACTCTCCGGGTGACATTCGCTGCAATGCAGAACGATGCCGTCGGAAGAATTGGAGACAAATTCACACATCGGGCAAGGATAGGCATCTCCATCGATGTTCTCTCTTTCTTCTGGGCAGGAAGATTTAATTTCCTGGAAAACAAACATCAGAAATATAAAAAACCATTTTTTTGACATACGGGAGATTTATCCATTAGGGAATTCTTATGTGAATTTGCCTTTGCCAGAAATGGCGCTTTTATTACCACTTCACGCAAAACAGTCGCTGAAAACATAAATTTAAACTAATTAGTTAGCAATGTTTTGTGCAATCAATGAACAAAAACCAGTGACGCAAAGGGACGTTTTTATGGAGACCGCCGGGTGTTGTTAGTGCTCGGTCCTGCGGTCGCCGCATAGAATTGGTATAACTGGACAGTGGTCAGCAGCATCAACTGCATGATTTAATTCATCACGTTATATCATTAGATAGCTCTCTAAGTGCAAAGCATGTCCTTATCAGGAGTGAAATGTTTACCATAATTTCACCGCGATTACTCTGCAACATCAGCCCCGTAAGGCGGTCAGCAGC